TTAAATTAAATATTAATAAAAAGATTGCACTATCTAAAATGTAAAAAGTTACTTATAAGTAAAAAAAGCACTTCATGTTATTTAAAAGTAATAAAAAAATTATAATTATAAAATTTATTTACAGGTAAAAAAATACCAATCCCTCCTTCTCTTATAATTGCAAAGCAGCGTATAAATAAAAAAATATATTAACTTAAAATTTTTTAAGTATGAGTATTAGATATATTTAGTTTTTTAAATTAAATATTAACAAAAAGATTACACTATCTAGAATGTAAAATGTTACTTATAAGTAAAAAAGTCACTTCAAATTATTTAAAAGTAATTGAAAAATTTATAATTGTAAAAGTTACTTATATAGATAAAATAAAATTAACTTCAATATTTTTAAGTAAATATTTAGATATATTTATTTTTTAAATTAAATATTACTAAAAAAATTACTTTAAAAAACAAATAAACAAACAAACATTTTAACACTCCATTCAACACTCCGTGCGTGGAGCCACTCCATACAACATTCTGTGCTGGCTCCATACACGGAGTGTTAACACTTCGTGCACGGAGTGAGTTTCACTCCATGCACGATGTTTTTTTTTTCTTTTTAAAATTTTACTTATAGTAAATTTTTATTAATATTTAATTTAAAAAATTAAATATATCTAAATTTGTACTTAAAAATGTTGAAATTAATATTTTTTTTTATTTGCAAGTAGCTTTTACAATTATAATTTTTTATTACTTTTAAATAACTTGAAGTGATTTTTTTTAAACTTATATGTAACTTTTTACATTCTAGTTAGTGTAATCTGTTTATTAATGTTTAATTTAATAAATTAAATATATCTAAATATTTATACTTTAAAAAATGTTAAGTTAATATATTTTTACTTATAAGTAGCTTTTGCAATTATAAGAGAATGAGGAATTAATATTTTTTTCATACAAGTAGCTTTTACAATTATAAATCTTTTATTACTTTTAAATAACTCGAAGTGCTTTTTTACTTATAAGGAAC